GCACGGCGGCCCGCATTGAAAATGATCAAATCACTGAAACACAAAGTCCATCCTCCTGTCCTTTTGGATGAAGCACTTGATGGCGGGTCATTCCGCTGATCCTTTGCCACTCCAGTTTATCATTGTAACTCAATCTTGAAAATGACTCGGTTAATAATTTTGCAACGATGTCATCACTATCACTGAAGTGAGCCATCATGAACGAACTTATGCTAATCATAAATCTATCGATCATACATTTATCGATTAGATTTATGATTTGAAAATAATAAAAGTAGGGTAGATATGTGGATATTATCCGGCTGAACAAAACGTGCATTTATCTAACAGGTTCGTTTTCCAGAGACCTTATTTCAAGCTATTTTCCAAAATCCTCTGGAGAAATCTCACTGCTTTCTGTCGATGGAATCCGAGTGAAGCTTACTTCCGGGTTTTAGGACGCGTCACTGCACCACTTGCATAGACCTCACAGCGGGCGGAACTTGTCATAAAGTCCGCGAAAATAAAGCCCGCCCATTTAGAGGGAAGATATGATTGGTCAATTTTAATGTTTTCAAATATTATTTTTTAGAATATCTTAGGCCCTCACAGAGGGCCTAGAGGGCCCTGACGGCTCGCCACTGGTTACTTCATTTCAAAAGTAACGCAGTGACTTTACTAGTTACTTACAAAAAAAGTATTGCGTTACTGTGAAAAGTAACGTTTTAGTTACTTACAAAAAGGTCTCCCATTAATGCCCTTATAGCCTTCATTTCAGTACTGTTATTGCATTGGAGAATAATACAATCTGTAGATCAACTTGACATGCATTATATGCAATCTGGATTGCATCGATATTAGCTGGCTTTCCATTTTTGTATATTCTTTCTCCAGGTAGTTGGAAAAAGTTTTCCGTCCCATATGCCGTGTGCCGCCCGGACATGCTATCATGCTAACTAGCTCCCTGAAAGCGGGTGACTCCACTGTAGCAATAGCCTGCATGTGTTCTACAACATACCGTGCAATGGCTTTATCGACTTTTCCCTGGATAGCAGTCCTTTGGTTAAAATCCAGCCGCTGTTGCTTAGGTGGAGGTGGAGTGGCGTCGGCTGAGTCTCTGTGGTCTTAGCTACTAGCTTCGTCCCAGCATGTTGTTTTTGCAGATGTTTTAAGAGATTTGAATTACTGGTTTGGGCAGTAGATAGGATCTTTGACCCGCCAAGACACAACTTATATTTAACTAAAAACGTTCTTTTCTTTGTGCTCGACAAAAGTGAAATAGTGAGAATATCTCCAGGTGGAGAAACTAGACTTGAGCTCCGCCGCCGCCATGATAGTCTTGTTACAACACAAACACGCCCACAGCCCGTCTCCGCATGTGACACAGGAAGTATTTAAGTACATTTACTCAAGTACTGTACTTAAGTACAGTTCTCATCTCTGTTCGCCTGGCTGTTGAATATATAAAAAAACTAACGGAGTAACGCATCATGTAGTAACGGTAACTGAGTTACTGAATGTAAAAAGTAATGCGACAGAGTAGTAGTTACTGCAAAAATAACGGTGTTATAGTAACGCGTTACTTTGTGACGCGTTACTCCCAACACTGGTGATAGGTGTTAAGGACTAACGTTTATAATAAATACATTTGTATTTATTTTTAAGATCTTTTAATAGTTCATACAATCATACGTATTGGGATCATTTGTATTGATGTGGACCGGAGGGAGAGGGTGACGAGCATAAGTTTCACTTTCCTTTTTTATTTCAATTCCAACTTTGGTCATGAAGAATATGTTTCTCTGTTGTCCCCGTTCATAAATCATAAAACAACAGCATCAGAGCACGGTGCAGAGTCTCTAGATGAGTTTACAGTAGTCCCTCGTTCTTATTATACATCCATGTTGTAGTCCGCTGTATAGAAAACTGTGGTTTCCATAGTTTCCCCACAGCAGCAGACGCACATTCATGACGTCCACTGGCGCATCATAAACACGTCGGATAGTGAAAGTGCATTCGGATTCTCTAAGCACCGCAGTCTCTTCTCCTAAATCCTTTTGAATTCTCCTATCCACTATCCCTTAACCCCGTGACGTTTCACTCAGAGGTCAAGAAATAGGAGATAGGGTTAGAATTTAGGAGCTGATTTTTGGATTATCGGAACGCAACCCGCGGTACTTTAGAGAATCCGACTACTGTAAACTCATCTAGAGACTCTGCACCGTGCTCTGATGCTGTTGTTTTATGCTTTATGAACGTGGACAACAGAGAAACATATTCTTCATGACCAAAGTTGGAACTGAAATAAAAAAGTGAAACATAGCTCATCACCCTCTCCCTCCGGTCCACATTAATACAAATGATCCCAATACGTATGATTGTATGAACTATGAAAATATCTTAAAATCAATACAAATGTATTTATTATAAACGAGTCCTTAACATCTATCACTGTGTACATCACCATTCAAACATCTTTTAAAAGTTGAACAAACCCCACACAGCTCAGTAAAGACTGTGAAATGTTGACTTTATTTGATCATTTCAGTAAAAACTAACGTTTGATGAACGTTCAGAAAAAAGCACTTTGGCAACTTACCACATACGTTTTAAAATGCTTAATAAGCACCGTAACTTTCATGATATCATTTCTCGGTCATAATCGGTTGTTTCCGTGAACGGCCGACTGTTGAGTGACGGCAAATGCTGCGGCTGCAATGCATTGTGGGGCAGCATTTTCTCCTCTCCTTTCGGTTAGGGAGGTCCAGTGGTTCCTAAGCTAAAGGAGGTTATAAAGGAAGTTTGAAACCTCCTTTCCTTTCATTTGGAGAATTGAAACGGCACTTATCATGGCTGCCAGTGACGTACTTCCGGGTCATTTCACTCCGTTAGGAAGGTTCCTAAGCTAAATGGACTATTGGAATGCAACCCGGGCCCTTCTCACTTCTCTTATATTTCATTTCCTCGCTCCTCGGTCTCGGTCTGACCGGAAGTTGATTTGTCTGCGCCATCTTGTGTAGCGTCCCAATGGCCTTATTTTTGCCGGAGGAGCGAGGAGCGAGGAGCGAGGAGTGATAATGGAGGAGCTATAACCGAGGAACCACCAGACCATCCTTCGATTAAATCCTCAGACACTCGCCCCGCCCCCTTACTGTTTATCGCTCACTGATTGGAAGATGCAGTGCATGCACTGATCTGATGCTTCTTGACATGAGAGCAGTTTCGCAGCGGAGTGAAGAAAATAAATGAACCTCACGAGAGTCACTCCTAAGTTTATACCGTGTTTTGTTTCAATTAATGTATCATTTAGTTATAAATAGGTGATATATCTGAACAACAAAGTGGTCAAAATCATTTTATTCATTTTTTGGAAACATTTTCATGATCGCTTTTTTCGTTTTACATTTTCATTTATTGTCATTTCCATTCAGTCAGTCATTAAGTGCTATTTAAAATGTTAATGTGCTACATATCCAAACAAACAAACAAAGTGTGCAATCCAATGAATGTTAATCTAGGGTTTTGATAGATAACATATCTCTTTTTCTTCTCTGAATTATTTTATTTATTTTGTGCACTCTAATCAATCTTAATCTATTAAACTATTGTTCGTTTATACATTTTAAGAATGGCGTTTATCTTTTTTGAGAATGAGTTCTTATTTTATTTAATGTATTTGGGTCTACAACAGATGATACAAATGTTTGTGTCAGTAAATGTGTACTAACAGAGGCGGGGGGGTGTGGAAATAACGGGGACAGAGCTGGCTGCTGTCAGACGATCAGCTGTGCAGCGTCATCACAAACGGACGTCGCTTCATGTGACGCTCCGGAGGAAAGGACGTCCCATTGCTCTTAAAACTCATTTCCTTGCTTCTCGTGGTTTCCTTGCATCTCTCCATGCTTCCCTTGTGGGAGGGACTAGTCACATGGAAACGACGCAAGTGAGGGACGCAAGGAATCCATTTAACCGAAGTGAGAAGGGCCCAACAACAGAGAAAAGCTAGTGCACATGCTGGATAACAACATCCATCCATACCTCACGGTGGATCCATATCAGGGGCCTATACTACGAAGCTGGTTCAACCTAACCTGGATATGTTTGAGTTAGCCGGTTGGCCTAATCCAAAACATACGTGCTCTCGCTAAACTGTACTACGACGCTGGTTATCAAGTGGATCGCTCAAGCCAGCCGTTTCCTATCTAGTTAGGTGCGCGTTCACATCACAAACATGGATAAGCGTACTGACAGCGCAGCGTCATACTTCCTGAATGAAAAGTGAACTTTAATATTAGACATATGAAGAAGTTAAACTTTAAACATCCATGACTTAAACAATTGATCCAGGATCAAAGCCACATAGCTGCACCTGCAAGGTGAATACAGCTGGCAAAAGAAAAAGTGTTTGAATGCGTACATTAACAGGTTTATGATATCATTGCCCCGTCTAAAACACGATCTGACTTTAATTACATTTGTCTCGAGTGTTTTGTCAACTTAATGTGTTGCTTAAAATAATACTTCTGCATACAGTATGTGACACTGTGAGTGTTGCACGGCCAGATACGGCTCAGCTGACTCAGATAAGAAAATATGATACATTATGAAGTGATATGCCGCGGACTGTAGGCCTACTTAATGTTACTTTGATCCGGTTACTTATGTTGTGGCAGATATTTAAGTAAGCTTTCTTAACGCTAATGTTATAATAGTCAGATTGCTCTGAAGATGGGAGGTGATATTCTATTAATGTTCACGTTCACACAGTCGGTGATTTTTGCCGGCCGTCTTTCCTGCGACGGCAGCTTTTCTGTATTTCCTTTCTCCTGTAATATGACTTGATCGCTTTAAACTCCGCACACTGAGCTCTGATTGGTCAGCAGGCAGTGCTTTCACTGAGTTGAGCTCTTAGCCTGCAACCTAACCTGGTCCCGACCAGGTTAGCCGCTAAGCATAAGTTACCATGGAGATCTAGCCTGCTAAAAAGAAAACCAGCTTCGTAGGACCGGAAAGCCGGAGTTTCCCCTGAATTTAGCCGGCTAAGCGAAAATCCTGCTTCGTAGTATACCCCCCGGGATATCTTAATACAAACAGACTCAGGTTAAACATTTCAACTTCACCATTTCCTGAGATGTCCGTTTGTGAGTGTTTATTTGCCTTTGCCTTAACATTTTATAACATCAGATAAACATAAACGTATGATGAAATGTGCAAAACAGAGTGGTGCAGGGATGACTTATTTTTCTTACATTTTAACCCTGAAATTATACATGCAAGGGCTAGGGTTCCTCATGAAAACTCAAATAGATCTTTCCATTGGAGTTATGGATTATAGCAGAACATACTGTGGAAAACAATCTTTTATGATACTCACGCTTTTTGTTCTGCAAGACCATCTCAACATATTAACAAAACTTTTATAATCGTTGAAGCGTTAATACGCTAACACTTTTGAGCAACCATTGTTTTTATTCACCATTCAGTGTTAACTGACTAATTTTATGTTGTAGAACAAAAGATGAAAATATCTTAAGTTTATGTTAGTCACATACCTTATGTCAGGCATCTAACCAAGTACACAGTCAACAAGACGTTATCAGGCCAATCTGGTTTATCCTTTACAGAGCTGAAGTATGACTCGTCGAGTGGCAGTGATTGGAGGAGGGAGTTCAGGTCTGGCCTGTATCAAGAGCTGTCTGGATGAGGGGCTGGAGCCTGTCTGCTATGAAAGCAGCGATGACATTGGTGGTCTGTGGAAATTTAAGGTGGGTACACCACATGCTGATTGGACCTTTGTATACTAAAGAGTAGAAGAGTTGGGATGAATATATTCCATCTTCATGGCTGTTATTGCAGGAGAACCCAGAGCCAGACAGGGCCAGCATCTACCACTCTGTCATCATCAACACCTCCAAGGAGATGATGTGTTTCAGTGACTTCCCCATCCCTGCACACTTCCCCAACTACATGCACAACTCCCTCATCATGGACTACTTTCGGATGTTTGCTGACCACTTCCATCTCACCAAGCACATACGCTTCAATGTGGGGATTACAGCACCTCAATATTAAATCTAAAATGTTGTATAATTAAGGTTTACTGTCAGTAGGTGCATCTCTATGAACATCTATTTAATCTGTGTCTGCCTCTCTGTTTTTAGACCAAAGTATTGCAGGTGAGGCAGAGATCTGATTTCTCTCATTCAGGCCAGTGGGATGTTGAGACGGAGAACAAGGATGGCAAAATGGAGAAACACATTTTTGATGCTGTGATGATCTGTATTGGACATCACTGCCACCCCAACTTGCCGCTACATGACTTCCCAGGTACCATTTATGGGCATTAAAAACTGTTCATGCGAGGATATTTTGTGCTCTTAATTTTTTTCATCCATGTATGAAATCACCCAATACCAATGTATTAAATAATCACTCTGCAGCACAAGAACAGAGGGACATTGTATAAAGTATAACAAAAGTCTTTAAAGTTAATAAATATAATGTTAAAAATGTGACGCATTTTGTCTGATTTTCAATCCCAGGGATTGACACTTTCAAGGGAACGTATTTCCACAGCAGAGACTACAAGACCCCTGAGGAGTGGAGGAATAAAAAGGCTGTAGTTATTGGAATAGGAAACTCTGGAGGAGACATCGCCGTGGAACTTAGCAGAGTCGCCAAGCAGGTTGGACATAGAGACACACTTAGATTCCCTGATCTTAAGACAATGGCAGGCATGATGATTTTCCTCTTGTATCTTATATTTACAGGTATATCTGAGCACTCGGAGGGGAGCTTGGATTGCAAATCGAGTTGCAGACAATGGTCTTCCCCGTGATATGCTGTACAGCAGAATGACAAATGTTTTGCGCCGAATGCTTCCCTTTGGATTAACCTGCAGCATGGCTGAGAGGAAACTTGACAACAGATTTGATCACAGTTTGTACAATTTGAAGCCAAAGCACAGGTATGGCAGCAACAGCATAGCTTAATCCAGTGGTTCTCAAAGTGGGGGGCGTGACAGGGGGGGGGGGGGCGCGAGAGACCAGGAGGAAAAATGGTTATTAAAAAAAAAAAAAAGATTTAAAAAAGATTTAAAAAACAAAAATCATATTTTGTAAAATTATTTATTCGAAAATAATATGATACAGTACTATTACGTCTGGGCCTCTGTGTTTCATTAAAGCTCGGCTCTGTGTGTGTGTGGAACGAGCCATTTTGTGTGCGTGAGCGAGCGTGAGCGAGAGAGAGCGCACCGGTACCGGAGATCGTTGATGTTAGCTTCTGGTGCTAGCGGGCTACGCTAACGGATATAAGGAGTTTTTTCAACAACAAAGTGGAGGAGAGTCCTCTCCTGTCAGACTGAGAGACTCAGTGAACTAAAGGACTCTCTCAGTGTTATCTCAGTGGGTCTCAAACGTTTTGGTCACCATTAATGTAAACAATTATTTCCGAGGCACACGTTTATATGATCATTATAGTTATAAAAAAATAAGAGAATAAATTAAAAACAGGTATGAAATACTATATGACATTAAAAAATGAATAAAGTTTAAAAGGGGAGTGATTTATAAAATATCCATAAAGAAATAGTAAATCTGTTTACAGTTCTGTGTTGAGAGATGTATCCATAGATCTCTTCATTTTGCTCTCAAAGTGCACCAGATTGATGCTTTCAACTTCAATATTTAAAAATCTTCCCGGGGGAGCTTGCCCCCGGACCCGCCTGTGAGGTCCACACACCACCTATAAAAATAGCACTTTACCCCTGCTTACACCTATATGCCGTGAGCTGATTATCGAGCCTTCATTGTAACAGTCGTGGGTACATTGTGTATATGCGTGGGGATTGTTGCAGTAGAAAATTCCACTGTAGCGACCGGTACATTAATGGGAAACCCTAAATGTTTGAGCACCCTCGATGAAACGTCAAGCTACCCCACAGCACCCCCAAAATAAATCTCTGGCGCCGCCACTGAGCCTGACTATTTGTGTTGGGGGGGGGCCCGACTTTTTTTTTTCTCCAAAGGGGGGGGCCTGACAGAAAAAGTTTGAGAACCACTGGCTTAATCCAACACTATTATTATTTTTTAACATGTTTATAATGCTAGAAGTTTTACATATCGGTCTGAAAATAAATCTCAGGTTGTTCAGCCAACATCCCACAGCGAATGATGAGCTTCCCAACCGCATCCTTTCTGGAACAGTTCAGGTGAAATCCAACATCCGTAGGTTTCAGGGGTCCAGTGTGGAGTTTGAGAAGGGAAGTGTTGTGGAAGATGTCGACTTGGTGGTAAGTGTTTTGTGCATACACACTGATTGCACAATCAGTCTTTTCTTCTGTCCTGTCTGAGATGAGTCCCCGGTCTTGCAGGTGTTTGCCACAGGTTACAGGTTTTCCTTTCCATTCCTGGCCTCCCATGTGACCTCAGTTTCTGGGAACAAAGCATCTCTGTACAAGTATGTGTTTCCTCCTGAGTTGGAACGCCCCACTCTGGCTATCATTGGTCTAGTGCAGCCACTGGGAGCCATTATGCCCATATCTGAGATGCAGGCCAGATGGGCCACGCGTGTCTTTAAAGGTAATACCGTTTGCAAACCATTTATCATACCTCAGTAAGTCCTGTTACCGAAGTAATTTGTGTCACAATCTGTCCTTTCAAACAGGCTGCACCAAGCTTCCCCCAGTGGCTTCCATGCTGAAAGATGTCCAGTGCAAGCAGGAAACAATGGCTAAAAGGTAGAATAGTGAATTGTTTTACTTGACAATTAAATGTTTTTATTCCTTAAGACACCAAATCTTGTTATCCACACTGTGTTTAGCTCAAGTCCGTTTTTCAGGTATGTCCCCAGTCAGAGACACACTATCCAGGTCGACTATCTCAACTACATGGATGAGATCGCAGGACTGTTGGGGGTTCGACCCAACATCCCCAGGCTGCTGCTGACTGATCCCAGGCTGGGATTGAAGGTGCTGTTCGGACCCGGTACTCCGTACCAGTATCGTCTCAAAGGGCCAGGGAAATGGGCTGGAGCCCGTCAGGCCATCTTCACTCAGTGGGAGAGGGTGGCTCAACCCATGCAGACCAGGCCCTGTGATGATCCCAAAACCAAGAGATCCTTCATGTGGCCTCTGATTCTGTCTGCTGCTGTGGTGGGCTGGGCTGCCTACGTCAACAGGAACAACCTTCCAACTGCTCTGTTGGACAAGATAATAGTTTACCTGCCTGCACAGGATTGAATATAGAGTGAAAACTTTATACCATTCTGATTTGCCGGTATGGTTAATATCAGCATAGAAAATAATAAATGTATGACAGCTCATTAATCTTAATAAGGTAATGCGTAATATTTCTGTCATTTCAGTGTAACATCAGGCAGAAGAGAAAATAGTCAACGAGCAGCACATTTAATTTGCACTCCAACACACTTTTGCAAATATGACCTTGCACAGTTTCCCCTAGGTTTACATCACTCTATCTCCAGGCTGGATCGTGAAGTAGGCCTACATTGGTCAATGATGCCACCTAATGGCAGTTTCAAATCCCAGCTAATGCTTGGCTTGGAGAGAAAAATACACATAAGCAAAGTCCTTCCTTTGTGTGTCAATCATATACTGTATATATAAATGTGTCAATAGATATACTGGGATCTCAATGCATATGAGAGGGTTTATTTGTACTAATCAATGATAGATAGATAGATAGATAGATAGATAGATAGATAGATAGATAGATAGATAGATCTATCAGATCAGTGTTCAACGAAACCGCCAGTGGTTAACAACCGGTGGACCCCGGAAGGAGAATCGTCGACGCGTGACTCGTTAAGATCGAGGTTGCCAGGTTTGACATTTCCAATGATATGACCACCGTACATTTCACAGAATATTCATACACAGTCATTGTATCTGTTTGGTTATGACTTGTTGACGTTACAACTTCTTTATCACCATAAACACAACAATTACAGAAACGCAGACGTCGGTTAAAAACATCTGGGAACTTAAAAAAAACCCAAAGCAGGTCTACATTTACTAATTATAATTGTGTAAATAAAATGAAAAGACAAATTATATTTGCCAGCTATTTGTATCTCCTGTCGTAATGTAGCTATATCTACATATTATTGAAATGCTATGAGTGTTGCAAATTAAAGTTTAACAAAAGCTGCATCTTTGTGACGGATGTCTCATTGACCCCCTGGCTGAACAGGGGGTTAGGAGTTTTAAAAGGAGGATATGAGACGCTAAATCTGGCAACCACGGTCTGCCATCTTTGATTGTGCGACAGGCCGCGGCGCGAGCAGCGGGGCCTCACACAACTAGAAAAACGGTGTGACACGAGTTAACGGGAGGGCATAACGAGGAAACACCGGACGACCGCGCACCGGTTCCCACAGCAACGGCCGAACAGACTAGAACAGGCTGACCGTTTAAACAGAAGACACACAGCCGTGCATGTGGAGAGCGGTTTGTAGACACTAGCTAACCATCGTTAGCAGAGCAGGGTTAGCAGGCTAGCCCGCTTGCTTTTGTAATCCGCCGGCCAGACACATATTCGTGCACCACAAACCACGCCGAAATCGGATCACACATCAAGCCGCACAACAGCCGCACGGACAAAGGAAGCACCGGCAGTGCCAGGTGAGTCACCATGTCATGCACGGGGAACGTTTGAAGGTTTTTGCCCGGTAGATGAGGTTCACACTAGGCTAGCTGGTTAGCATGCCGTGGAGGGTTGATGTGATGGCGACTAGAGAGAAACGAAACTATGCTAATCGATGCGAGCTGACGGCCTGCTCTCTTTACATCTCCACTGTTTCATATTTTACATCAAGATTTATGTTGTTTGCTAGATTATACTGTTCACAGTTTTGTGTTTGACTTTTGCCCAATTGAAGAGTTATTTGAGCCCGGTCTGGTTGAGTTCCGGGCGACGAGGGCCTCTAACGTAACTCCCCTGCCGGTGTGAGCCACCCATCCCACCAGTATGGTTTGATTCATGGGGAGAATGGCCTGCAGAAACAATATTATAAATGTGGCTGCCATCTCGGTATTTTCACTGAAATATGGACCTGTGCAGACAATACATCATGATTTATTTCTGATTTTAGTATTTTATTCAGGTTAGCCACGTACCTTCACACTCTTGGTATCTTCAGGATCAAACAGATGTGGTCTTTAAAGAGGATTTTATTTTTTATTTTGTACATTAGGGGGCTTTGCAGGGTTGGGGTGTGCAAGACTCTAGGCTAAATTATGAATGAACTTTGTTTGCAGTGGAAACCACCTGGGGGATAACTAATAGGCAACATGGTCGTGTTGTATACATACACATCCATGATTAAACATGGATCAGCATCTGAATAGTTGTAGGGAGGGCATCCGCATATATTGATTGGTTTAGTACTTATTGATGATCCTGGTGGTAACATTGCCAGATGGAAGGCTCAAGCCATTGTGCCAAAGGAAAACAAATGCAAGTGATTTCTGTCTTGTGATTCTCTTCACAATGAACTGACTTTGCACGTGATACACATCTGTTAGTCACCTAAAGTGTTCTGTGTATATTTCAAACTTGCATTTCAAATGTTCATTTACCCCTTGAACCAAAGCACATACACATCAAATGAAACTTGTGAATTCAATTACCACCGACTCCCAAGGAAGACTATTTCTGTGGTATTTATGCTACTATATAAACAAAATGAACAGAAATGGTTTCCCGTGGTCATCATTTGTTATACTTCTGGTTAAAAGTAGCCCCTTGCATTGACACACATCATGTGAAGATTAGTTATTAGATACTGAAAGTGTGTGAATCAGTTCAATTAACGGATACAATCATATATTTCTGTTCACGTGCCAGGACATGTAGTACGGTATCTTAATGTATAAGTCCACATACTCAACCTTAGTCTGTGTTGTAGCTCTATTATTTGAAATGTATATACTTACAATTGCCATCATATTGCAGCCACACACAAAAAACCAATGGGGACAAGGAAATACAACCTGTTATTTCAGCCCCCCCATCATTTTAGGCCATCTACATGACTTCAATGTTGGAAAGGTCAGTTCAATGACCCCATTGTAAACAGAGTAGTGTGCATGAGCACTTTACAGGGAAGCCATCTGAGTTTAACTAGAAGTAGATCCTTTATTGTAAAAGATGAATAGTTTGCTATTGGGGCACTTTTTTTGTGAAGTTAAAATCCTTGTTAAAGTGTACGTTTATCCTGTACAAACACACCTGATTTTGTACAGCTAATGACAGAAAAATAACTTGGTTTGATGGATGGAATATTCTAGCTGTGTTGGTTTTACTATCTGTAAGGAGCCTTCTTAACACGGTCTCACTGTTGCACAAACTGCTTCTTGGAGGCAGAAACACCGACATGTGGTTGTAAAGGGGAGGAAAATGGCTCACAGTGATGGCTGGACTGTGGTGCAGACGTTGCTGTAGGAGTGCAGGTTCATGCTGGGGAGCAGGGACGCTATTCTATGCTTCTTGGCAGATCTCAAGTTTTTTCTGGCTAGGTCTTGTTACAACTATCTGAAAATACTTCAAATAGTTAGTCCAAGATCCCTCCCCTTTACCCACAGTTACCATATGTTGATAGTTTACGTGATGGAGTCTGGGATGTACACTGACTTGATCCATTCTATGGGAAGTGCTTATTTTGGCACTATGGTTCTTACGGGGGGGGGGAGATTTCCCTTCTTTTTTTTATTCTGTGTGTTGCCTCCTGTCAAGCAACACTGCTGTACATTACAAAGTTGTACCAGAAACATTGATGTACAATAATGATTAATGCAACCATTTCATGTGTCAGTTTTTCAAACATTTCTCTGTGATCAGTCTGCACTGCTGCATTCAAAAGCCACACAGCTTAGTTTTCATCTACATTTGTATTCTGTCTTTTTATTGTTAACCTTTGCAGTGTGTATCTTGTAATCTGTGCCTTTGTTTCCTAAAAAAGACAAATTCAAAAAAAGCCTCATTCAAAAAAAGCCTCGATAGTGTTAATTCATCAGTCTCATAATTCGTTGGCTTAGAGCAGGGGTGCCCAACCAGTCGATCGCGATCTACTGGTTGGGCACTCCCAGTCGATCGAGAGATGTGTCTAAAAATAGAACAACAATATTCTGTTTTATCGTTAATATCCTATAACATAATCTTCCTGTGCAGAATAATGCACTTGAACGCAGCAAAGCTTTGTGATTGGCGTGACCCCATGTATCGGGGCGTGGCTGGTGGGCAGTAGGGGTGTTGAAAATAATCGTTTCTACGATGCATTGCGATGTGGACGATTCGGTATCGATGCAGTGACGGAAGATAATCGGTTATAGCGAAACGTTGCTTCCTGATTTTCCGTCCGCGGCTTTACTATAACGTTTTTTTTTAACGTCTAACCCTAACCCTTTGTCACTTTAATATCAAATCGGTCGGTGACGCAGAGATCAGGGAACAGACGTGACAGCGGCACAGCAACACCAAACACGGAGCAGTCTGCTTTATCCACCAACCCAACACCACCAGTCCAGAACCACCAGCAGAAGGACCCGCTCTGAATCACTCCGTGTCGCTGCGGCACAGGGATTTATGTTTTTCAAAAAATAATCGCGTTACAATCATGTCAGGTTTTTGAAGGATTTAATTAAGTCTTGGATTGCAAAGTATGAATGTCCTCTAGCAATTTTCAGACGATATACGTTTGTGAAGGCAGGAGGGAAAAAGCTCCCGCGATCACCGTCTCCTCTGTTCCTCTAAGCCCCGCCCCCCCTGAAAATAATGAGTGACAGGCTGATAGTGACCTGATAGAAACTTTATTATTCACTTAATCACTGAGATATAATGAAGCTAATTTAATCATATAATAATTTTAATACATTCATGGGATTTATGTAACAGTAAGACAGAGAATGTAAGTGTGCACCCACATGCAGTATTTTTGATGGTATATGCTATTGTAAATACTCCTGTTGTCTGCTGTGTTCAGACTCAAGTCCTGTGTGTGATGCCACATTCAGGACATTCAGTGTCCTTTTTTTAACAGAAGACCGTTGCTAGAAGCTGCAGCTAGACTGCAGAAGCATTATTGTTTTGTTTTTGAGGATGGAACAACTTCACACACGGAGGCTAGACCTACAATTCATTTATTTTGGTTTATAAATTAATGTCAAGACATTTATGTTATTGATTTCTGAAGCACTTTCTAAATAATAAAAAGAGAGTTCATATGTATTTACTGCATGTATGCATTGATGAAAAATAAGCCATGTGCAGTAATATAGAAAATTGAGGATGCAACGCATTGGTATGCATCGGGAAATTGAATTGAATCGAATCGTTGACAGGATAATCGAATCGTGAGACCAGTGAAGATGCACAGCCCTAGTGGGCAGTGGGCACTAGTTAGCTGACGTTGTCCGTGTCAACAGGAGTGACGGTCCGCACACCAGTGGCAGCGCCAGAGATTTTCTCTAGGGGGTGCTGTGGGGTAGCTTGACGTTTCATAGAGGGTGCTCAAACATTTAGGGTTTCCCATGAATGCACCTGCGCTACAGTTGAATTTTCTACTGCAACACTCCCCACACGCACATACAGTGTACCCGCGACTGTTACAATGAAGGCTCGATAATCACTTCACGGCATATAGGTGTAAGCAGGGGTAAATTGCTATTTTTACAAGTGGGGAGTGGACCTAACCTCCTCTAGGGGGGTCCGGGGGCATGCTCCCCCTGGAATTTTTTTTAAAATATTGAAGTTAAAAGCATCAATCTGGTGCACTTTGAGAGCAACATTAAGAGATCTATGGATATATCTCTCAACCCCCATTTGAAACAGAACTGTAAACAGTTCACGCTACTTTTAAACTGTATTCTTTTCATAACTGTTTTTCCTTTATGCTCTTATTTTTTTACACTGATCATACAAACATGTGTGCCTCGGAAATACTTATTTACATAAATCGTTACCAAACCGTTTGAGACCCACTGAGATAACTAGACTAAAGTTAACTATATAAACACTGACAGAGTCCTTGAGCTGAGGTTATCTGAGACTCTCAGTCTGACAGAGAGTTCTCCCTCCACCTTGATTTCCGGTAGATACCCACCGGTGCGCACGCTCTCT